CTGCCATGATCACTTCGGGCTGCTTCTGTTGGGCTTGCTTTTACACCCTTCAGGTAACTAAATATCCCTACCAGTTTGTAATTAGTATTGGAAATTAAAATTTAAATATTCATGAAATACATTATTGTTTTTATAAAGGCACAAGCGTGAATTGATGAAATATGGTAAATATATTGGGACAAAAAATTAGAGATCAAAAGTGAGCTATGTTAATTTTCCGGTGAATAGTAAAGTGTAACTTAAATATGTTTTTAGTCTATGTAAACAATAAATATGACACATTAGTTTAAGACTTTAAGTCCTTGCATTTTTACGTTTTTCATCCCTATAGCATGTACTATTTTATTTTTAGTCCATCTCTAACACTCTCAAGTCCCTCTACTTAGAAAAACCTTATCAACAATGTTTGATGTACTCACTCTTGTACCCACCTTATACCCACCATGTTTGTGAAGTGCCTTTTTTTGTCTATGAATCCGGTTCTCGGACAATATTTAAAAAAACACTTCACAAACATAGGTTGGTACAAAAGTGGGTATAAGAGTGGGTACAAACATCTTTTTTGAAACTTTATTGTCAGTTGCATAAATCTAATAGAAACTTTTATATTTATCCTTTTATGATTTTTTTTGAGACTAAAATGAGAGTTTAAACAATGTGAAACTAATCATTCATATTTTTTTAAATGTTAATTAAAAACCTTCTAAAAACTTCGCCCACCTTAACTTGCTTGTAAAATAATAAAATAAAAAGGGAAAACTGTCAAATAGGTCCTCGAACTTTCATAAAAAAGTCAATTAAGTCCTTCTATAGGAGACTTTGTCCGGTCGTCGCGATTTGGGGCGGTTCTCGGTGGAATTGTTTGATGAAATTTTTTGAGCATCTTATTGATCAAGTCTAGTTTACTCATACCAAATTTCAGCTAAAAATTTAATCGGGAGCGCATTCAAATTAATTCGAGAACGCAAAAATGCGCAGTTATCTTCAAGAATTAATTTGAATGTGTTCCCGATTGAATTTTTAGCTGAAATTTGGTATGAGTAAACTAGACTTGGTGAATAAGATGCTAAAAAAGTTTCATCAAAAAATTCCATCGGGAACTGCCCCAAATCGCGACGGCCAGACAGAATCTCCTATAGAAGGACTTAATTGACCTTTTTATGAAAGTTCGAGAACCTATTTGACAGTTTTCCCAAATAAAAACTTTTTCATCCTATTTAAATAATTTAGAAAAAACCTATTATCGGTGTTATCATCAATGATGGATTAAAAAGAAAACCAACATAAATTTGGATGAAAAACAAAAGAATAATTTTACAGGGACATAAATAAATTATACTATATGACTATATCTGTAGGACAAAAAACATACTTAAACCTAGCATTGTGAAAAAACTAACCTATACATCTTCAATCATTATTTGTTGATCCAATTATCTAGACCGGCCAAGCACCGTGCCTTGCTTAGGCACTAGGCACAAACCGTGAATCCGTGATATTTGCACTTAGTCTCGTTTTGATATCAGATCAAACCAACTCAAACTTATATAGACTAAATTGGATTAGAACAAATTAGACTCGGTCAATGGTAAAATCCATATAATAAAAACTTTTAACACTTTATATCGGCTCAAACCAGACCATACTTACATTAACATACCAGTCACTTCTCTAACTATGGTTTGATTGAGTATACAGGCAATGACATTGAAATCATATCCGGCTGGGCTCTCCCTTACTTGCCTAATATGTGGGATGGGGGCAGTACAAGGAACTATACTGACTCTGGTGGTTGAGAGGGGAAACACTGCACCTTGGGCCATCCACTGGGACACCAAGCTCTTGGCATACATTTATAGTGTATATATGAAATTTAATTCCTGTGATTTCATTTGCAAATGCAGATTCAGATCACAAACCACAATTAATAAGCTTCTATATCTAGCTGGTGTTATTGAATAATGACTTAATTAATGCAGGGAATTGTATGCTCAGGAGTTGCTTATTACATATCAGGAGCAATCATGAAGGAACAAGGACCTGTTTTTGTCACTTCTTTTAATCCTTTGAGCATGGTCATTGTTGCGGTTTTGGGCTCGTTTATATTGGCAGAGCAATTGGACTTTGGAAGGTTTAGTATGGTTTTTTGGAATGTTATTTCATTATACTCCCTGAATCCCGCAAATAAAATTTCGCCCACCTTAACTTGCTTGTAAAATAATAAAATAAAAACAGTATGACTGGGGAATATAATAGTCAATCACATATTTATTACTTTTAATCAAAATTATAAATAAAAATGCGCCGATTATATAAAGAATATGTAATTTTTCAAAGAAAATTTACAATGTTTAGTGGAAGAGAAAATATGTCGCATTTCTTTATATCAAAACTTTTACATAAATTTTCTACTTTTTTCTATCATTATCTTTCATTCCTTTTCTACCCCAATCATTATACATTGAAATAAATATTCATAGGGACAAGTACAAAAGAACAGAGGTACTAAAAAGATATATACTTTTACGAGCTTTTTAGTAACTGTTACTCCCTCCGTCCCCTTTTAAATGTCCCGGAAGAGGGTGGCACGAGTTTTAAGAAAAGTGGGATTGTGTGGTTGATATTAATTGATAAAGTAAGAATAAAGTAAGAATGATTTTGAGCCACACAAACTTTACCAAATAAGGTATGGGACAATTAAATAGGGACATCCCAATATGATAAAACGGGACATTTAAAAGGGGACGGAGGGAGTAGCTTTTAATGACTAAAAAGATCTTAAAAAGAAAAGTTGATAGCTGTTTGGTAAAAAGCTGACTGTTTGATTTAGTTCGGTTTGGTATACAAGCTGTTAGGACTAATTAATACTAAAAGTCACAAACTTTTCTCAGATGCTACACCCGGTAGCATCTCAAAAAAGATCTTTTAATTTTTGAAAAAATCTTAAAAAATGTCATGCCAAACATACAACTAGCGTCTTTTAGGGCATGTTTGGCACAACTAGCTAAAAAGATACTTTTGTGAGCTTTTTAATAGCTGTTAGCTTTTAGTGACTGAAAAGATCTTAAAAAGAAAAGGTGGTAGCTGTTTGATAAAAAGCTGACTGTTTGATTTATTTCGGTTTGGTATACAAGCTGTTAGGATTAATTAATACTAAAAGTCACTAGCTTTTCTTAGATGCTACTCCCAGTAGCATCTCAAAAAAGATCTTTTAATTTTTGAAAAGCTCTTAAATATTGTCATGCCAAACACACAACTAGAAGCTTTTAGCAACTTTTTGAACAGTACAAAAGCTAGAAGTCAGGGACTTATGCCCGCCAAACATAGCCTTACTGTCTTTTTAAAGAATAGAGAAGCTAGAAGCTAGAGCCTTTTGTGTGTCAAACATAGCCTTAGGGTATGTTTGGCACGACTAGCTGAAAAGATACTTTTGTGAGTTTTTTAGTAACTGTTAGCTTTTAGTGACTGAAAAGATCTTAAAAAGAAAAGGTGGTAGCTGTTTGGTAAAAAGCCGACTGTTTGATTTAGTCTTGTTTGGTATACAAGCTGTTAAGACAAATTAATACTAAAAGTCACAGTCTTTTCTCAGATGCTACTCCCCGTACCATCTCAAAAAAGATCTTTTATTTTTCGAGAAGCTCTTAAAATTTGTCATTCCAAACACACAACTAAAAGCTTTTAGAGATTTTTTAAACAATACAAACATGCACTTATACTAAAACACCTTGTAGAGGCTAAGGGTATGTTTGGCACAACTAGTTAAAAAGATACTTTTACGAGCTTTTTAGTAACTGTTAGCTTTTAGTGACTGAAAAGATCTTAAAAAGAAAAGGTGATAGCTGTTTGGTAAAAAGCTGACTGTTTCATTTAGTTCGGTTTGGTATACAAGCTGTTAGGACTAATTTAAACTAAAAGTCACGAGCTTTTCTCAGATGCTACACCTGGTAGCATCTCAAAAAAGATCTTTTAATTTTTGAAAAGCTCTTAAAAAATGTCATGCCAAACATACAACTAGAGTCTTTTAAGGTCCTTTTAAAAAATAGAGAAGCTAGAAGCTAGAGTCTTTTGTGTGCCAAACATAGCCTAACAGCAGTCAGCGAATGATCTGATTATTGATGGAAGAAATATAAAATATTATTATTAGTAATAAGATATTTTTATCACTGTGTAGAGTTTTGGGGGCATGTGTGATTGTGGTTGGATTGTACCTGGTGATTTGGGGGAAGAACAATGATGGTCAAGATCAGTCACGCGGGGATCTGACGCCTCCAATTGATCATCAGCCACTGCCCGTGTCCGTAAACCATCTGGAACATCAATTAGAAATCCCTAAAGAAGTGCCTTCAGAGATGATTTGATTTGGTAGAGATCAGAGGAAGAAGACAATTTTTCGAAATCACTATTGGTTATTACCATATCCTCCCATTACACTCACTAGCTCCACAGATTATCACTTTACCCCTATGTTAGCTAGTGAATATGTGACTTTACGAAGAGTAAAATGGTAAATTTTCTCAGGATGAATGTAACCAACCTGTAATGTCCCCTCAGATCACTTGAGAAGAAATGGATATTACATAAGTTGTTCACTCATATATATCTAAAAGACGGACTCATCACAGATTTAAGTGAATAAATTTGAATAAATTTGAAACAGTTGCTTAAAAATATGTGTGAGGTTTTACCTCGATCAACCTCATATAAATGTTGTTTGGATGCTTCGTTTTGCAACTAGCGACTCAGATGCATTTTGGTTCTGCAAAAAACAATACTGCAATTGGCTGCCCCATAGAAAAAGGACACCATTTCAGTTTTTGTTTATTTGTGCAGTTGCTATTTGTGAATCAAGATCTTATTTTCCCAAGTATAGCCACACAACTCTTAGCTTGTACAAACAAGGTAAAAAGGTAGCGTAGTTTAGGGTCACAAAGGTGTAGAAGGAGCACATCTTTCCTAGTCAAGATAATGCAAATAATAATAAAACATAGAAAAAGGTTCGTGTTTCAAATACTAGAATAAGTATTACAAAGATAAGTATTTGTATTCTATATGAGTTGTAGACTTTGATTGTATATTCTAGCATAGGTGTAGTGTCTTGCAAAGATCTTGTAATCCTTCCATTCTTGAGTTATATCAATATTGCTTTCCTTGTAAATTGGAGTATACCCCATCAAATTTGAAACCAGCTTAACAAACTTCTTTTCTTGAGTTAAGTAGACCATCTTCATGTCCTTTGTTTCCAGATCACCAGAAATTAGATACGGTATATAGTTTTCTCCATCCGGATAATCATGAGGTGAAGGTGAAGTGCAGTAGCCCTCCCTACGATAAGTGTTAATATATGGAAATGCAAGTAAATGAAAATGACCACCCAGATTCCAAATACCAACAGGCAACCAAGATTCCTCCCACGTTCCACATCCCATTGGATTCCAATACTCATGCTTGTCAATGCTTACACCACATTCTAAGCTCCACTGTTTATGCACGCCAATCCACTTCGTTAGCATTTTAATTTTCCCTCATTAGCCATATGTCAATGCAAATTGCTATTATCTGGAGGACAAAAACTAATCATAGCAATAGTCTCGTTCATCACAGTAAATAAAACATCTTCCCATATGGTCGGCAACCCCATCGTCCCAAAAACCTCATCATCCAAGTCGAAGAACCATAGCAATCGCTCTTGTGAGAAAGGTGGTTCTTGTTGGGTGTCGATTTCTTTCCGGCTCAGGTCTCCAACCCTTTTGCTATACTCTCACACACCACCCTAGGCTAGACCACAACACAACTCCAAGCTTCTTCTCTACCACTAAGGTATTCTCTCTCACACTCTCACACAAAGGAAATGGAGAAGAAGAAGAAGGGCACTGCTCTCTCTATAATTCACGCAGGCTGCTCTCTCAAGGAAGAAGAAGAGCTACATAAATAATAGGCTTGCCAACAAGAGGACACTCACGGGTGATGCAAAGACAAGGAAAGACTGCAACAGACAACTCAAGATGGGGTCACTCCACATAAGGCAATAGCCATATTATTGGTTAGGAAAGATTCAAACAAGAGGTGCCAAAGTGGGAGTAAACATGGGGTGCAAGTCAATAATAAAATGGAAGGGAGGCCTTGGTAGGACCAATACCTCCAACGTTCTCCACCTTATTGGTCCTAGGTGGTGTAGAGTAGCAATACAAAGTTGTGAGGAGACTCATCATCGCCGGATTATTACAAGTACATCATTGCGATCATACAAGTAATAGATGAGAACCAAAGTTCCCTTTCGGACCAAGCTTACCGTGCAAACCCACTTCACGATGGACTGAACTCTACCAATCGGTCCTCGAGTTCAGAACCAAAACCATCACAAAACTATTAACAAGCACAACACATGTTAATAGACCATGCAAGCACGCATCCGGGAGAAGTTGGGGATTCCAACTAATCCAACAACAACACAAAGCAAGTATAAAGAAAATAAAAGAAACAATATTATTTCTATCACTAGTACAGGCGGAGCTCACATAATCACAGGGTATCACATTTTCAAAACACAAAGAAAATAGCATACCAAATATCACAAAGATTTTAATTAAAAGAGAATTAAGCACATTTAAAGCAGACTCAGTGGAAATATAGTCAAACACATTGCACATATTATTTCTCTCATGCTTCCTAATGTCTCTATCTCTAATAACATGGCAATCACGCAACTCAAGCATATTGCACACAACATTCATATCATGCTCCACCTTAATAGAAATATTATTTTCTTTATTTTCACCATGAAAAACATTTTCATTCACAAATTTGGGTTTGGTTTCAACAAATAAATCAGAATGAACATCAGGCAAATGCTCCACCTCATTTGGAACAACATCAGGAGAAACAAGCAGACAAGGAAATTCATTTTCAACAAAAATGACATTTCTACTTATCAACACATTGAAGCAAGTTTCACTCCTACACCAAAGCCTATAACCTTTCATGCAATCATGATATCCTAAGAAAACATATTCCTTAGTCCTAGGTTCAGATTTATCATTCACACGATTCACATAAGCAGCACAACCAAACACTCTCAAATTTGGCAAGTTAAGTGGTTTGCCCATGAACACAGATTCAGGGCATTTCCCTCCTAAGGGAACAGACGGGGACAGATTAATCAAATCAACAGCGTAACAAATAGCTTCCCCCCAGAACTTATTAGAGAGCCCAGATGAAGCTAACATAGCCCTCACCCTCTCTAATAAAGTTCTAACCATCCTCTCAGCAACCCCATCCGGTTGGGGTGTGGAGGGAACAGATTTATGCATAGAAATACCCCAAGTATCACATAAATCACCAAGCTGATTATCACAGAAATCAAAACTGACATTGGTCCTTAAAAAATTTATTTTCTTACCGGTTTGTTTTTCAACAAGGGTTTTCCAGTTTTTAAACTTATCAAAAACTTCAGATTTATTCTCAATCAACAAAACCCACACTTTCTTTGAAAAATCATCAATCAACGTCAGAAAATAATTTTTCCCACCATGAGTGGAAACACTATAAGGACCCCACAAGTCAGCATGAATACAATCAAGCACATTAGTACACTTAGGCAGATCAGGAAAACCAACTCTAGACTGTTTTCCTAGCACACAGGGTTGCACATAAATCACAGAATCAAGTACGGGTTCAGCATGACAAACATACAAGTTGTTCTTCATCTCAGCTTTGAAAACAACTAAACAACCCTTCACAACTTTCATGATTCCCTTTCCCCATTTTCCCTTCAAACCCACATTTTCAAGAGAAGCACAAGATAGCAAATTACAACACAGCTCAGGAACATGCCTAACATTCTTCAAAGTAAGCACATAACCAGAAAAAACCTAAGGCATACATCTCCTATTCCTAGCACATTGCATTTCTTCTCATTTGCTAAAGACACAAAGCCATGCTCAATCTCTCTATAGTTTGAAAAAACATTTTTCAAAGGGGACATATGAAAAGTACAACCAGAATCTACCACCCAATCTGATTTACCCAAAGAATCAGATATCACAGAACTCAAATAGTCATAATCACATAGATTTTTCATCATAAGCACATCACCTAAATCATCTACACACGTAGTCAAATTAGCATGCTCACTATGCTCATTTTTCTTAGATTTAGGACAGTCTCTTATGAAATGACCAGATTCGTGACAATAATAGCAACGCCTCGAACTAGACCTAGACTTAGATCTATGTCGTCTACTATTATTTTCTCTACCCCTCACATGCATAACCTCCTCGGATTTTCTACCCTCACCCATCTGTTTTAAATCTAATTCCTTACTCTTAAGACCATTTACCACAATGTCAAGAGTCACATTATCTCTACCATACTTAATAGCAGATTTCACATCACTAAAGTAATCAGGAATAGCATTTAAAAGAGCAATAGGGGAATAATCATCTATATGCTTATCACCACACAACTTAATATCCGAAATAAGTTTGGTAAAAACATCTAGATTTTCTTCAATATCTATAGACATATCTAGTCTAAATTTGAAGAACTTTTCAAGTAAAAATATCCGGTTAGGCAAAGAGGTTTCGGTATACAGTTCATCTAATTTATTCCAAAGAACTTTAGCACTTTCTAAAATTCCAACTTTTCTAATCACAGAGTCAGATAAGTTCAAATAAATCACAGAACATGCATTTTCATTCATTTCAGCCCTTTTCTCTTTTGTGTCAGAAATTAAATAGGTTTCGCCAACTGCTTTAAAACATTTTTGTTGTATTAAAATACATTTAATTTTTTGCTTCCAAATGCTAAAATCAGATTTTCCATTAAATGGAGCCATACCATACTGATTATAAGCAGACATTTTCACAGAGAAAAAACAAGCAACAAAATAAAATGTAAATTTAGCTGAAAAACAATTTAAATATTTATAAGGCTACAACTATACGGAGCAACTAGCACGAACACGTGGGGAGTATTAATGAGCACCAAACTCAACTTCAAACCCCTTGTTCTTCCGTATAAGCACAAATAAATAATAAATTTTCAGCACAACACAATACAACAATTCAAACAATTTTAAAAGCAGTAATAAACCTAAAATATAAATTCTACACAATAAAAGATTAAATCACTACAAAAGCGATAAAAGGGATAAAGGTCAATATACCGGAGCGAAACCCTAGGAGAGGTGTTTCGACCTTACCCACCCAATTTAAAAATTGGGATTTTTCCGGACTGTTGATTGAAAGTTGGCTGATTTTGACCAAGTCCACCAAGAGCTCCTGCTTGCTTATTAATTGCTAGCACCTTCACGTGAAATCAATTGCTAACTCCTGTGCTCCAAAGTCAAGCCTCCACTTGAGTGAACACGGTCAACACCTCCAAAGCCAAATCCATGAAGTGAACTTCACGTGAAGCCAACTTGTTGTGTTCCACCTTTCTGCGACCAACAACGAAAGGACAACGACAAAACAGCCCCAGACTCCAAGATAAATCCAGCCCAAAGTTAATCCAAACCCAGTCCAAGTGCAGCTCAAATGTCAAGCGTGTCCAGCCCCTGTGTCCTAGTTTCTTCTCCAGCGTCAAGTACACTGGCGTTCGTGTCAGAGAAATCAACAACACGCTCTATCTATCTTCCTCGTTTAAAAAATCCAGGCTACAGATCCCAGCCACGACGAACGCTCTTCAATGTCGACGATGGAGCTCAGCAACCCAGCAAACTAGCTTCTTTAGCTCCCGTCCAAATCTACAAACAAGTCATCCGCGTCAAGAGAACTAGCATCGGCCGGCTCTGTTAAGCAACGAGCGGCCAGAGAGATGCGGTCGAGCTCAGCAAACAGGCGACGAACGGCGAGCTCTCTGGCGACGATTCCCAGCCTTAAGGACTCCCTGCGGCGGCCACCTACGTTAATCCCTGCGGCGGCCACCTGCGAGTCCTCGTCCAGCTTCAGATCCGGTCACGAGCTCAGCGATTTCCAGCAGTGAACTTCCAGGCAGCGAATGAATCAGCAAACTCGATGCCGGACCTCCGTTGGTGCCTCAATCGACGAACGACGGCTTTCCAAACCTTGAATCGACGGAGAACGGCGGATTTGACAAACGACGGACTGATTTTGGGCAAAAGCTTCAGTGACGGTGTACGGAGGCTTCCAAGCGGGGCCTTCAGCAACGAACCAATCGGCTGAACGATGACCTCCCTGTGACGGCCTCCAGCGAGCTCTAATCGATGGCGGCAGCGGACGGCGGCGGACGGCGGCGGCGTAGCTCTAGCGGCGGGCGGCGTAGCTCTAGCGGCAAGCAACCCACGAGCTCCAGAATCAACGAATGATTCTCGACGAAGCAATCGGCGTGCTAAAGAACAACGCCCCAGATCCGGCGAAGCTTCCAGTAGCTTCTACCGGCGGCGTGCGGCGGAGTGCGACGGTGGACGGCGGCGGAGGGCAGAATCCGGCGAAATCGACGGCGACGACAACACAAGCTCTGATACCACTGTTGGGTGTCGATTTCTTTCCGGCTCAGGTCTCCAACCCTTTTGCTATACTCTCACACACCACCCTAGGCTAGACCACAACACAACTCCAAGCTTCTTCTCTACCACTAAGGTATTCTCTCTCACACTCTCACACAAAGGAAATGGAGAAGAAGAAGAAGGGCACTGCTCTCTCTATAATTCACGCAGGCTGCTCTCTCAAGGAAGAAGAAGAGCTACATAAATAATAGGCTTGCCAACAAGAGGACACTCACGGGTGATGCAAAGACAAGGAAAGACTGCAACAGACAACTCAAGATGGGGTCACTCCACATAAGGCAATAGCCATATTATTGGTTAGGAAAGATTCAAACAAGAGGTGCCAAAGTGGGAGTAAACATGGGGTGCAAGTCAATAATAAAATGGAAGGGAGGCCTTGGTAGGACCAATACCTCCAATAGTTCTGAATCCAGGAAATCAATTGTTTGTACCCGCCAATAGTATTTTCCCCTAAAATAGAAATCTTCATTGGACTTCACAGGCAAATTTGGAAGAGCATCGATTTTCCTCCAGCTCCATGAACCATCACCAACTTGGCTGCAAACCATTACCAATTTTGAGATTACAACCTTCCAAGACATGCTTGTTTGCGTGAAAGTGCAAAAGTGATTCTGGTGCTCTAATTTACTCGTTTCAAACTTGCTACTTATCAATCATGTTTAGAGTACAATTATACTTGTTTTTCAGTTCATTACCTATGCACGAAGATAAGCCCATAGATCATAAAGACCAATGCAACGAGGTTGGTAAAACTTATTTCATCAATTATTCAATGAGTTTCATGCACATTATGGTAACACACCCCCTTCCTCGAAACCAACTGCTAATTCATCTAAAGGAAAATCATTTTTCACATCCACATTTAGTAATCTAATGAAAAACTAATTGTCTAAATCAATTCCCTCTGTTGCACAAAGCTCGATTAACGAGCTTTCTTTATATCTATGTTTCAATGTGAGTATGAAGAGGGGGATGACTTCGACGTTCTCAAATGGTGAAAGGAGAAATAAGGAATGTTCCCGATTTTATCGAAGATGACGAAACACGTGCTATCAATGCCGGTGTCAACGGTAACCGTGGAACAAGAATTTAGCAAAGCCGGCAACGTCCTAATGAATTATATATAGAACGAGATTGAGCGCACAATCTCTTGAGACACTCATTTTCTTCCGCGGTTGATTGAAGGCCCAACGAAGAACTCAAGAACTTTGTATCGCCCCCGACCGCCACTTCATGGAGGAAACAAAAACCGTCCATGTTAGCGGAGATTCCGACAAAATTAGCAAATCTATATAATGTTTTAAATCATTCTCAATTCTCAATTGTACTTCATATTTCAAATAATTATACATTTTAATTTTTAATGTGTAGCACTTATGCAACAATCAGGGATTTTTTTTACCAAAACCTGACCCGACATAGGACCGGACCGAGGCCTGGCCAGGCACCCAACTCCGGACCAATACTATAGCTATCTGGGTCGGTACTAGGCTCAGCTTTTTTAGTACCCGTATTGGGTAGGACCGCCCGACCCGACCCAGTGCATACCTAATCAAGTATGGGAAAAACTCTATTTGATGAAATATTTGAGGAAAATAAATTTTAGAGAAAAATAAAATAATCGGGGAAGTGTAAGAAAGAAAGAAAATACATACTCTTTGGACGAAAAGGGGTAGATGTGAGAACAATTATCTGAAAAAGGAAAAAAAAACAAGAGAAAATTTAGAACAAGAAATCGTCACTATATATTCACTAACATGTCAAAAACTAGCAAAAAAGGATGTGATACAAAGGGACAAAGAAAAAACAAATTGTGTTTAGGAATTTGAAAAGAGAAAAAAGAAGCAAAAAGGAGAATTTAAATAAAGAAAAGAATATTTGAAATAAAAATATTTATAATAATAACCGAGTAATGTTGGATATTAATCTTTAAAAGGGAATTGACTGATAATTGAATAGTATTGCGTAAAAAGAGAAAATGTAAAAATGGAGAATAAGAAGAAGAAAGGAAAAAAACTATTGAAAAATAAAAAAAAAATATTAGTAAATAAAATAAATATAATAATAAGAAGATGAAAAAATGAAACACGGGACTACTTTGAGCGCAGATTTGTGAAAGGTGAGATTATTTACGTAAGGTTAAAGAAAAAGGGAAAACCTAGTATGGTAGGTCATTAACCAGTCAAGGTCTAACGAAAGAAGATGATGTGCAAATGTGAGATTATTATGAGATTATGTAAATGTGTGATTATTATGAGAAGACAGCTCAAATGTGAGATTATTATTATCAATTTTTCCATTTCGATATATATATACCAAAAAACATTTACAATGTTGTAAAAATAGGGAAACATATGTTGAAAAACAAAACAGGGAAACATTATTATTAACATATACTACGTACATTATATTATTAACTACTTTTCCTTGTGTTCATATAGTACAAGATAGTGTAAACTCCGTAATGCTTAACAATTTCAATATTTATACTATTGCATGATATGTTCATAATCTGATGATAAGCTGCTCTGTTTTGCATGGGTTTGGAATGTTATTATTATAAATAAATGTTTGGTTGCAATTAATAATTTTGAAGTTGGCCGGTTATTGTGAATTTTTCCCCGAGGGGTTGACCTGCAAATTATAAATACGAAAAGATGGAATTAATCGGCCTCAAATCTGAGAAGCCCCGTGGAACTTTCCTACAAATTATTAAAGTACTAATGAACACGTTTTAAAACTCGGTTGACTTAACCTCTTGGCAAGCCAAGTCTAGAGAAACAGAAAGACCCACTCGTGTATATATGTGAATCCAAACGTAGTTTGAGACCGGATTGGAGAAAGACCCACTCGTATACTACTGCTCCTACTCACTCCATCTTCAAAGCTAAGCTAAGGCTCCGTCTCTGTTCTTGTTTACATCTAGCCATTCACTTTCTCATATTATTGACCTCCATTTTGCAAACCATCCACTTATGGGAAAGGTATGTGTATAATCTCTTCTTAATTGCTGTAAGTTTGAGGTGGAATAATAATGTTTTTATTTGAACTAGATTAGACCGGTTTAGATCATTTCACACAATTAAATACTAACGAGAGCAGCATGAGCTACTTTCATTAATCTTGAATTTCCACTACTTGACCGGATTGATGATTTTTTATGAGTTATTAAACGTATAGTATTTGGGTTTATTTGATTGGCAGCAAAAGGTAGTATTTAACGTCACTATGAGTGATGAAAAGGCTAAAGTCAGAGCCCACAAGATTGTCGCAGGCCACTCCGGTACGTATTTAATTAACTATCTCTATATATCAGCGGTTGTAAATGCTTAAATTATTCAATTGCAATATTATAATTAGGCAACACGGAGTCATGAACAATGTACCGAAACTTTGTGCCTAATAATACTCATATATGCTTTCCAAATACCTTCCCTTTCAGGAGTTGTTACTACGCATGTGGAACGAGAGAAGGGGCGGATAGAGGTGGTCGGCGAGTTTGATGCCGTAGAGCTGGCTGTTAGGTTGAGAAAGAAACTTGGTCACGCTAATATAGAGACCATGGCCTATGTGGTTGAAGAAAAGGAAAAAGAAAAGGAGAAAGAACATAAAAAGAATGACACCCCAACACCTCAATACGCGACAATCACTTATGATCCATCCACTTCCTATCGAGTACCTTATTACCCCTACTACAATTATCCAGCAATTAGTTACTATTAATGATTATGAACATGCGCATGAGGTGTGATATTGTAAATCAATTCACTTTGTAATGAAACCAATAAATTTATTTACATGTTGCTGTCATCTTCGCTTATTTTCTTGTCGTCTTTATCAATTTATGAGGCTAGCCTGATATAATATAATGGTCAACAAGTTGTTGACCAAAGTTTTAAATTGCGGTAGCGATTGCAATCATTACTATAATTATACGAATGCGATTAATACGGCCGCTGCGATGCGAATTTTGCGGCCACTGTAGCGTGAAATATTTTCAAATTTGCACAAAATATATAGGAATGGAAGGATTACTTAACTTAAAATAAATTTTATTGTAAATGATGAAAAAATCAATGAGAATATGACAATTAGATGTGAATAATGATTAGAAAGATGGTTAAGTTAAACATATCTTGAAACTACAAATATTGTTACGTTGTTGAGAGGACCTCACGTACGTGTACTCAACAAGTTTAAAAATTGTTATTGGAGTTCAATAGTTTTGCTTATATGAAAAAACATAACCTAGCTCACGATTTGTTTGTGTTAATTGGAATTTAGATCAACAACAGACGAAGATTAATTGAGTTGATAGCTAAGGAAGTGAGTACGCGACTTCAAAACACATAAACCGGGCATGTTCTAATCTATATAGGCACCCCAATAAATACCCAACCATCGGAAGGAATGAAGTATCAAGTAGCAAAGGGTGATAAGCAGGGCCGGTCCCAAGAAAATACGGGCCCTGTGCAAAAATAAAATGTAGGTTTTTTCCTAAAATAGGTAGAAATATAATATAAGTGAAGATTATATTTGTAAAAATTTGCTACAATAATAATTCATATATATCAAAATACAAGTTATTCACTAACATAATAGTTAAAATAAAACTATTCCCTAACAAAATACACTTCATTTATTTGTTAAATTGAATTATAAATTAATAGTTAAAATAAAACTATTCCCTAACATCAATATAATTGATAGACGTAATGAGCATTTGATAGTTGATACATATTTAATAGTTTGTTAATTTAATAATGACATGCAATAAAAAGTAATAGTAGTTATAATTATAATTACAAATTAATATTAATAATTGTAGTGGATGGCATATATGAGCTTAGAATCTAATGAGTTTTTGGTTATACTTTATATGATATAAAACTACGAATTGAGAGGATGTTAACAACAACCTAATGGTTGAGCCAATTTACCGTCCTCATGGGTAAGAAACCCACCAGGGTTCGAATCCCCTGGTGTTAAAATTTTTTAATTGTGAAGCATGGGATCCGAAAATTGGGCTCTATTTGTTGTGATACTAAAGGAGGGCTGTTGAAAATTTGGGCCCTTGAAATTTATGGGCCCTGTGCGGCCGCACCGCTGGCACACCCTTTGGGCCGGCCCTGGTGATAAGAATGATGGTGATGTGATGTCATTGCGGCCGGATGTGGTGTGATGTGGGCTGATGTGGTGCCGTCATGGTACCTCCAAGGTTACATTGCGGGTTTTCACCGTGATTCCAAATTAAAGCACGTTGATATTGCGGGTTTTGATGTGACCTGATGCACTTGCTCCGCCGCCCGCGGCCACCATATTACGGCGGCCACCTGGTGTTGCAAACCGCAGGACTCTCTTGGAAACTTTGAATCCACTATAAGTCAAGAATCAAATACAATTAATTACTCCCTCCGTCCCCCAATTAAGTTCCCACTTTCCTTTCCTTTTTGGGCAGTCCCTAAATTAAGTTCACACTTCAATACTTTCCCTATATGACAAATTATCTACATCAAAACAGTGCAAAACAGTGTCAAACAATGATTTGTACATGTTCTGCGACAAATGGTTAACCTCCTACTAGATAATAAGGTGGAGGCTTGTTAGGGAACTGTACACATTATAATAAACATATAAGAAATTCCCTTAAATAGGATATAAACAATCAGCGGCGGACGCAGGAATTCCGGCTAGGAGGGGCGGCAGGGTAAAAATATACGGAGTACATACAAATACATATTACGTATATATTAAAATTTCGAGGTAAATATACCTAGAAAAATAAAATTTTGGGGGGACAGCAGCCCCCATTTGCCCCCAAGTTCGGTCCGCCACTGTAAACAATTCTAAAATTGGAGTATTTTTTCCCTAAATAGGAGTAAGGAGAGTACGTAGTTACTCTCGTATGTAGAAAATACAGCTAATTATGCCATTAGTAGTTTCATATTGATTTCTGGTAATGGGGGAATACAGCATAATAGTTTCATGATGATAGAGTTATTTTATACCGGGAAAAACATATTAAATTACTCTATTTAGAAATTCACATAACAAACACAGCATTATAACTTATAACAATATGAAGATTTCATACTTTATTTCTTATCAATGTCATTAAGAAAAAGACGTATTGGTTATGACAGAATATTAAGGATGTGTTTTTATTGGACTTAAATATTTTAATCTAATTTGTTTAAGTCAAGTCTAATCTGATCTGTTTTGAATTTATTTAGTCTGGTAGATATATTTTTTTTTAATTTTTTTTTACCCCAAAGGGCATCAGGGTTTGGGGGCCTGGGGTACGTAAACATGGATCAATCTCACTCCATTGAGAATTGAACCCGGGACTTCCATAAGGGAGAGTGAGTCGGTGACCAGCTGGGCTAGACCACTTCCTCTAGTTGGTAGATATCTATAGTATGTGTATTTTCTTATTGCCCAAGTTTTTTTAGAATTTTTATAAAAGGGGAGAATATCAATTACTCATATTTTGGGAATATAAAAATTTTAATCCTACTTTTACATTTTGGAATTAGTTTACTCATATTTGGAGGCTCTTACCTTTATCATATAAAACCATAATTCATGGTACAATATATTTCATAATCTAATGAAGAAGCTACTCTGTTGTGCTTTCTTGTTACTTGTATTATATTATTATATTTTAAATAAATGTTTCGATACAATTAATTTTTGAGTTGGCCGGTTATCTTGATTTTCCCCTGAGGGGTTGAGCTGCAAATTATGAATAATAAATAAGAAAATAAGGAATCGGCTTAACTCCATAGTATGATGATTGGTTGAAGATACTTTATTAACGATATAAATATATTTTATCATTGTGTATTTTTGTATTTGTTCAATCATTAGCCAAGTTCATTATTGGCTAGTGCTTGCATTATTGACTATTCACTACAAAAAAACACGCGTGTAGTCACGGATTTAGTCACGGACCTCAGTGTAAAAAATCCGTGACTAACTCTGTTAGTCACGGATTTTGTCCGTGACTACCTCCGTGACTCTTTGAGCGTGACTAAATGTAGTCACATCAATGTAACCGTGACTAAATGTAGTCACGGCTTAGTCACGGACCAGCTTCTCCGGCATGTTTGTCACGGAACAGATCCGTGACTATGTTTTTTTAAATTTTTTTATATTAGTCACGGTTGCATCCGTGACTAATACAATCCTTTTTTTTAAAAATCCGCCATCTTAGTCACGGCCGTATCCGTGACTAAGTTTTCAAATTTTCAAAAACCCGCGCTTCAAATTTTCAAAATTTTGAATTAGTCACGGACATGATTTCGTGACTATGTTTTTTATTAATAAAAAAAAACTTAATTCAGGACCAAAACTTACTCACGGATCAGGGCCGTGAATAGGTTTTTTGTTTTTTTTTTTAAAAAGTTTTTCGTTGTGTGATATGTGTAACCGTTTATCACATATGACCGCCACACTTTGGCACTGGCACTTGGGCCCCATGCTAATGATAACAAAGGGTCGACAATCCCACGACTATTGATCTGTAAATATAAACATGATAATAACATTAGGTAAATATTGAAAAAACTTACTTAATAATATATATAATTAATGTGTGTGTATATATACCTGATGCTTGTACCACGGTATGAAATTTGAGTCCACCATTGCATCAATTTCATTCTCAGAAAAGGCTGATAAAGAAGCTCTGAATTCACTGTGAAGTCAAAAATAAAAATATTATAAATTAACTACAAATTTAATTTATAAGTATTACAATTATAACTACAAATTTAACTTACTGATAAAACGGTAAGATTTTTGGACAATTCATGAGGCTATAAGTATGCGCTTCCTGGGTAATTGAAGATGAAAACTACATTTTCATATAAATCCTCGCCAATGTCATCGTTTCGGGCAGGTCTCTTCCTTCTGGTGATGACGTCACGCTCGAAATAAAAAGACGAGAACGTTGAGATTTCTTGTTGAAGATACGCTTGACAAATTGAAGCCTGAACGTGTGCCTTGTTGGTCACTTTCTTTTTCAACTCTCCTAGAAATCTGCAATGTAAAATAAAAGTGGTACACAGATTACAGTTTTTATGAAATAAATATTCATTTTTTAAATGAAATTGTGACTAACCTTTCAAATCTGTACATCCAGCGATAGAAGACGGGCCCAGCAGTCAAAGCCTCATACGGAAGATGTATTATAAGATGTTCCATTCCATCGAAAAACGATGGAGGCATTATCTTTTCCAGATTACACATCAGAATGGGAACAGACTCTTGTAGTCTCCGAAGGGATGCCGCATCCAAAACGCTGGAACATATCGACTGAAACAACAAACTGATTTCAGTAATGCAGGACCATACGTGTTCAGGGAGCATCTCTTTCAGTGCAATTGGTAGAAGTCTTTGCATGATTACATGAGCATCGTGAGTTTCCATGCTCGCCGTCGTGGTAAGTTTGTTCATGTCCACGCATCTAGACAAGTTGGAGCAGTAGCCATCTAGAAACTTCAGAGACACAACCATTGTAATATTGCTGCCTTTTGTGCTTCTGTGACCTGGTAGTCTGCTTTTGGAACTTCCTTGCCCTGATATTCTAGATCAACAGAAAGTTCGGGTCTATCACACCAAATAGTCATATCTTTCCTAGCTGCAAGACCGTCTTTAGTTTTGCCTTTGAAATCCATCACCGTGTTAAATATATTGTCAAAGACGTTCTTCTCAGTGTGCATGACATCTAAATTGTGACGAATGAGAGGGTCTTTCCAATATGGACATCCCATCAGACCGTGTGTGCTCCATCCCGAAAGCATGCCATAGGCAGGGAAGTCGCTAATGGTCCAAA